TCCACGAAGGCCTCAGATTCTGCTCCAGGGGACACTGGGAGTGTCTAGGGACATCTGTGGTTGTCACCACTGGGGGTGCTCCTGGCATCGAGGGGGTGGTGGCCAGGGATGCTGCAGCCCCCCACAGGGCCCAGGATGGCCCCCCAGAGAACAGCCCAGCCTCCGACGTCAGCAGTGCCCAGGGGGAGAAACTTCTAAACAAGGTGTCCCCCACATTGCCATCCCCACAGCACCTGGCGAGGAAGTGCCAGCCCTCGCTTTGGTTTTGTTCCGTCCGTACATGCACAGGAGCCCCGTGTCTCAGCTCAGGCGTGTAGTATTTTTGGGGTGACGGCCCTCCTTTGATCACGGCTACACCGTGCATCCGGGGAGCAGGGGGCGCTCGCCCTCGCCTGTGACAGCGTGCCGGGTTCCTCTGCAGGAGCCGGCTCCAGCCTGCTGTGGCTTCCTAGCCCTTCACTGGGAGGCCAGCCCAGGGCCTGGTGGCGGCTGTTCAGCTTCTGTTTTTAGGCTGACCTCACCCCGAGTCGTGCCCTTGGCCTCACCAGGCCTGGACCAGCCCCTCACAGAGGGAGAACGCAGAGTCGGAGTGTGACCGCCTCGCCCCTCCCCCCAGCTTCTGGGGCCTCTGAGGCAGGCCGCCCAGTCAGCCAGGTCGGGTGCCCACGCTGTCACGTGCCCCCGGCTGAGAGGCAGCTGGCGAGGAATGTTCCCCGAGCTGACTCAGCGGGATGCCTGTTCTGCTGGCATTGGCCTTGTCCTAGGGGGACACGACTGCTCTGTGAGTCAGTGACTGGCTGTGACACCAACCGGGACAAGGTCTTGAGTCTGCTCACTGGCTGTGGTGACACATCCAATGTCTGGTCCCGGCATCTTAGTGGACATATGCACACACAGAACACACACGTGTGCTCACCACACATAGTACACACGCACACATGTCTCATGAACACACGCACATACAGTATGCGCACGTGCACACGGACAAGCATGTACGCTCACACGTGCACACACCGCGCTCACATGCATACACGTGTGCTCGCACATGTGCACATATGGTGCTCACATGCACATGTGCATGCGTGGGCAAGCACGTGTGCTTGTACACATGCACAGCACGCTCACTCGCATGCACACACAGTGCGCTCACACACAGACAAGCATGTGTGTTCACACACGTGCACATAGTGTGCTCACAGACGCATGTGTACGCACACGGACACAAACATGCACACGCATAACGCACAGACACACGCACACCTGACGCACCCTCCCTGCCAGTCCAGAGTCTGGGTTGTCACCAGCCCAGAGGGAGCCTGGGGCCCTGTGCGTGGTGCAGGAAGCCGGCACCACCTCAGGCTTCGTGCTCAGGACGGACACCACAGCTGGGGTGTCCGCACGGGCGGCCAGGGTCCTGGGATCCTGGTGGACACTCTGGATGCTTAACAAGATCCCCGGCCCTCCAAGGAAAACACGCCCGGGGCCACCCCGTGTGCTCTCTGGGTGCGCCTATATTTAGCGCTGAGTAATTTAGGTATTTTTGAGCTGAACCAAGGGCGGTTTTCCCTGAGCTGGATGTTTTGTGGCTGCTTTGAAGCCAGCTGCTGAATCAGAAGCCTTGGAGCCCACACGTGGGCCCTGGGAGCCCAGGGCAGACACACGCGGGCCTCGTGTGACCCAGAGGGGCCGGCCGTCTGCCGGATGCGGGGAGCGGTCGGTGTGGAAGGATCGTTTTTTGAATTGTCCACATGCAGTTGTAAGAGGTCACAGAAGTTCCATGTGTCATTCGCTCCGTGGCGATATTTTGTCAGAGTCCCTGGTCAATACCAGTCAGGGTGTTGGCGTGGGTACAGTCCACTGACCTCCTTTGGATGTCCGCAGTTTGTGTGTGTGTGTGTGTGTGTGTGTGTGTGTTAGTTCTGTGCAAACTTATCACCTGGGCGAGATCCGCCCCCTGTCGAGATCTGCCACATGTCCAGCAGCACGGGGACCTCCGGGCCACCGTCTTCTCCCAGCCCCCAGTGACCACCCGTCTGCTCTCTATCTCCACTCAGAACAGCCGTGCCTGGCCCGCGCAGCACGTGGCCTCCGGCCTGGGGCTCCCGGAGCTCCGGCCACGGCATGTTTATCAGGGGGCCGCTGCTTTCGATCGCCAAATATGAAATTTTCTGAGACTCCGAAATCTGCCTCTAATGTTCTGTGGCCACCCGGCCCTACTGACTGCCAGACAGACAGAGGTACAGCGTGTCGTGACAGAAGCACAGAGCCACTCGGTTACCTGGTTGGATGCCGGCCAGCTGGGGCCGGGGCTTCCCGGAGCTCCTGCAGCAACACCGTGACAGTCCCACTGGGCGTCCCTGGGCACCGAGGGGGCCGGGGCGCCTCCCCGGCCCCACCCACTTAATGTCAGGAGCACCCCCAGTGTGACAGCCACAGACGTCCCTGGACATCACCCCAGTGGAGAACCACCAGGCTCACTAGATGAAGACAGGATGGAAAAAGTAGAATTTTCACTGCCTTAAGCAACAGGACAGACTTACACAACTGAACCGTAAAGACAAGCCGATGTCACTCATCCATCGCTGTGGGGATGTAACTGGTATAGCCACTCAGGAAGACAAGTGTGGCATTTTCTTAAAAAGTCGGGCCTGTAGTCACACTTCGCAGCGTTCGTCCCAGAGAAATAAGGACTCGTGACCCCGCAAGTGCTCGCAGCAACTTATTCATGATGGCCAAAGCGGGGAACAGCCCGCCTGTCCCTCCACAGGCGAACGGTCACCTGTGCACACCTCACCACGGAGCGCGACCTGGCGTGGGGGCAGGGACCCATCACGGCGGCAGCCTGGGTGGAGCTCCAGACCGTCATGGCAAGTGGGAGATGCAGTCATGTGCCGTCTGGCTGCATCCAAATGACGAACGTGCCAGGAGGGGAACCTTATAGGTCACTAGGGCGAAGTGGGCTGAGGGGTGTGACTGGCCACCTGGGGGCCGCAGGAGGGAACCTGAAGGTGGACTTGTCCTGTGTCTTCCCTGCATCGGTGTCACCGTCCTGCTTGTGGTCTTGCCACAGTTTTGCAGGGTGTCACCCGTGGGGGAAACTGGGCAAAGGGCTTGCTGCATGAGAATCCACGGGGATCCGAAAATTTTTAATTAAATTTAAAGTAAATTACTGTCTACAGCCATGCCACCCTGAACAAGCTGGATCCTGTCTGATCTCGGAAGCTAATAAGCAGGGTCGGGCCTAGTTAGTACTTGGATGAGAGACCACGTAGGAAGACCAGGTGCTGTAGGCGTAAATAATTTTTTAAAAAATAAGGGATCGTAAGCTGAAAAGGCCCTTGCAATCTGTGAGGTCAACCAAGGGTTGCCGGATAGATAGATAGATAGATAGATAGATAGATAGATAGATAGATAGATAGATAGATAGATAGATAGATAGATAGATAGAAAGAAAGAAAGAAATATTTTGGGAAGAACATGAAGACCATCCCAGACCAGCATGAAGCAGGAATCATTGGCATAGTACAGGGTAGGCCTTCTCGGCAGGGTAGGGGGGCCACCCTGACCTTCTAAGCTGTGGCGAGTGACACCGGACTCCTAAGGGTGCTGGGAGACAGGTCCACGGGGGGATTTGGTGCAGAAAATCACACGCATTCCCTCCTCCGGGCGCGGAGCTGACCGAAGGTCTGCCTAGGGAGGGGAGGGTCCAACTGGAGCACTCAGGGAAACTGGTGTCCCCAAAACTTAGGCCCGCCCAGAGCCTCGGAGGGGGACCCTATCTGGAGACAGGGTCGTGGCAGCCGCAACTCCTTGGCATGAGGTTGCAATGGATCCGGCGACCGTGTGTCCTCGTGATGAGGCGATTTGGACACAGACATAGGGAAGGCCACATGACAACAGAAACGGAGATGGGGTGACGCAGCCACAAGCCAAGGGACACCAAGGGCTGCTGGCCACACCAGGAGCTGGGAGAAGCGGGGAGTACCTTCCCGGCGCCCTCGGGGAGCGCGGCCCCGACACCCCACCCCAGACCTCGCCTCCAGGTGTGAGCGGTTAGGTTCCTGTTGTTTTAAGCCGCCCAGCCTGTGGTCACTTGTCACAGTCGCCCCAGAACACTCACAGAGGAACCTGGGCCCCAGCTTGTCGGAAAGCTTTGGGAACCCCATGGAGTCGAGCGGCCCCTCGGTCCTGGCTGAGTGGTCTCCAAGTTTCTCACACAAATCCCCCCTCCCCCGGCCCCGGGGCTGTCCCCACCGAAGGCCACTCCTGAGCATGGAATGACACCAGCGCTTCTTGCTCCTGCCCTGCCCCCGACAGGCAGGGTACGGAAGCCCAGGCCACCTAGGGTGGGGACGGCCTAGGGGACTGGGTCTGAACCGGGCCCCCTACCAGCGTCAGCTCAGTGCTCAGCAGAGCGTGGCTCTGGCAGGAGATTCTCTGTGAGGGTCTGCTGAGCAAACAACTGTGTGACCGAAGGAGACGGGTGACGGGCCCAGGTGCCACAGTGTGGTTTTCCCAGGCCATCTGCCCCAGAAAGAGCCAGGGGTATCAACCGGGGGCGACCTGCCACCCCAAGGACACTGGGCCATGTCTGGTGACAAGCACAGTCTTCGGGACTGGGGCGATCCCTGCATCGAGGGGGCGGGGCCAGGGAGGCTGCTCAACACCCCCAGTGTCCAGGATGACCCCATGAGACCCCGGAGCGGGACAGCTGTCAGAGAAAACTCAGGATGCTTTCTCCCCACCGAGTCCTCAGCTGAATCTCCCAGGAGCCGCCGCTGTGTTTTCACGGACTCTCCTGGGGCCCCCTGATGGTGACGACCAGCGACTGGCCACAGGAGGGGACTCGGGGAGAAGAGGGGCTCGGACAGGCCTCCCACCCTCGACCTGGGGACACAGACAACGTGGCCAGTCCCCAGATGGGGCGGGGGGCTTCCAGAGGGGTCATCCTGCCTCTGCCTCGTGGCCCCAGAAGCTCACGCTGTCTGCTTCCCCCGCAGCTCTGGACGTGGGGCCGGAGCCGATGGCAGACAATGTCAGCCACTAACAACATCGCCCAGGCCCGGAAGCTGGTGGAGCAGCTCCGCATCGAGGCTGGGATCGAGCGCATCAAGGTGAGACCCTCGGCGGCCCGGCGGCTGGGCGGGAAGCGGGGCCCGTCGCTGCGCACCTCGCCCGACACCTCTGAGCCCGTTTCCTCAGCAGAAACCCGTGTCACGGGTCACTGGGGTGGCCCTACAGCCCACGGGGATTCGCAAACACCGAATTCCCCCCAGACACTGGGGTCCCTCCCTAGAAGCCCCAGCAAAGGCCACCTCGGGCCCCACCGAAAGGGCCAGCATGAGGCAGGCACTTTGTCCCCCCTGTCCGCTCACGTCCCTCTTACGGCAGATGCGGATAGAAGTTGGGGACGCGGTCCAGGGACGGGAGGGGACGGGTCTCGCCTCCACTTTATTCACCTCCGCGCTGTTTGAATTTTTGAAATAAGCGTTTTTCCTTTTTATACTAAAATGGAGGACAGCAATTCCTGTCCACGGACGCCGGGCCCGGCAGGGACGGGACCCGCGAGGCTGAGGGCGGTGGCACCGCGTGCGCGCGGGCAGCTCCGCAGACGGGGGCGAGAAAATAATTCGCAGAATGCGTTGGCCGTTTCCTTTAAAGCGCACGATTCAGGGGCATTTGGTGCTTTCACAGGGTCGTGCACCCACCCCCTCTGTCTAGTTCCAGAATGTTCCATCACCACAAAGAGAGATCTCGTCCCCATGAGCTGTCACCCCGGCCCGACACCCACTCACCCACTTCCTTTCCCCATGGATGTGCCTGTTTTGGACATGTCACGTAAATGGGATCACACCACATGGCCTTGTGCATCCGGCATCTCTCACTGCGCGTCGTGTGTTCATGGCCCGTCCATGTCCTGGCGAATGTCAGCGCCTCCCCGCTTTTCACGGCCGGGTGACACACCGCTGTGTGGAAGGTTATGTTGCATTTATGTGGATGAATTTTAAGCCCAGGAGGTGACATCAGGACAACCTCCGGGGCTCACGAGTTTCCCCGTTTCTGAGGGCACGGCCCCTCACATGAGAGAGCCTGACACCTTCCCAAGGCCCCTTCTCACCAAGCCTGCGTCCGCTGTGAAGGGACAGGAGGCACGTCCAGGAGGCTGACTCCTGCCCCCAGCCCCAGCTTGCGACGGCCAGCTAGGGACCAGGAGTCGCTGTGGAGAAGGCCCCCGGGTTATGCACTTCTCAGCTGACCCTGCTCCGGCTCCCCACTGCCGAGTCAGGGTTCCCAGAGAAACAGGACCGACAGGACATGTGTACGTATCTAGAGACAATGCACTTGAAGGAACTGGCTCACGCGACGACGGGGCCTGGCAGGTGTGCCGTCTGCAGGGCGGGAGACCCAGGAAAGAGCTGACGTGGCAGCTCAAGTCCCGAGGTCGTCTGGGGGCAGAACTCTGTCTCTTTGCGAGAACCTCAGTCTTGTCTCTTAAGGCCCTCAACTGATTAGACGTGGCCCACCCACACTATAGCGGCTGATCTGCTCCACTCAGAGCCGACCGATTCAAATGTCAATCTCATCTAAGAAGGATCTTTATAGAGAGTTCTAGACCGGTGGTGGGTCAAATATCTGGGTGCCGTGGCCTAGCCAGGCAGACACGCAAAAATCAGCCATCACCCCGTATCACTTTCCTGAGCACCTGTCGTACCCCGGTCGCTGCTGGGCACAGGAAGGGACCACGGTGCGGGCAGATTCACACTGACGCCCAGGCAGCGGAAAGGAGTGGGAGGGGGCCGCGGCCCCAGGGGCGGTGCCTCCCAGGAGGCGGGTGAATGCACCAGCGCCCGGCACAGCCAGAGCACCGCTTCGGGCCGGAGTGAGTGGCTTTTCCTTTGAGAAGGTGCCAGCCCCGCCTGGCGGGGCGCTGATTCATCTGTCTGCTTGGGACTCAGGAAAGTCGGGAGGAGGGTGTCAGGCGGCCCGCCCTCCCAGCCCCGTCTGAGGTTTTTCCTGTCCCCACCACGGTGACTGGCACCTCAGAGCAGCGGCCTGAGAGGCAGAAGCGGTGGCCATGGCACTCTGGGCACAGCCCTCCTGTCGACGCCGAGGACGGGGACGGGGACGGGGACGGTGCTTGGAGGCCACATGCGGGAGCCACAGCAGCAGCTATTTCAGGGCCCGGAGACTATTTTCGTCCCCTGGGAGGGGTGCTTTCCAAACAGGACTCTGCTCCATCTAGTCAGACGCCCCGGCCACCACGTGCTCCCCGCGGTAGTGGTTGTCACTGCCTGGGGGCAGGCTTTTCCCTGGACCAAACTCGCAAGCCTGCAGGCTTTCGGCAGCACCAGAGTCGGGGTGTCCTTGGTGACTGGGGGTGCAGGGCCTACGACGCAGAGACCCCTCTGCAGGCCGCGGACACCGTGGAGGCCCCTCAGGGCGCGTTCTCTCTCCCTACCTCATGCCACCCTCCCAGGAGCCCCTGCACGACTGTCACCGCCACCTGGCCACGCAGTGGGGGTGAAGAAAGGGGCCCCCACAGACAGAGTTCCCGGGAGCCCCTGGGACGAGATCTAGAGGCCTACAGTCATGCCCTGGCCTCCCAGGCCCGGGACACCTGCAATCCGGCCCCCTGTCCTGCTGGGGCGAGCAGAGCGGGACAGTCCCGCGCCGCCCCCAGGAGAACCGGGGCGCATGACCAGTGGGGCGCCTTCATGGTGGCGGTCAGCTTCCCGACGCTCAGCGCCACCTTTTCCCCACGCTGGCATTTCCAGGTGTCTCTCCCCTGTCCCCTGTCCTTTCTCGGGGACCCTAATGCTGGGCCAGCGCCCTCGCTGGCGTCACGACTCCGGAGGGGTCAGACTGCACAGAAAGGAGGAGCCGGCGAGCCCGTGTTGTCCCCCTCGATCGTCCCAACGTCCAGGCAGGGCTCCTCCTGTCCTGTTCCTTCTGGGCGGGGCGGAGCCCCAGGCTGGGTTCTAAAGAGGCTGCGTCCCGCCCTGACCCTTTCTGTCCAAAGCTGAGCAACCACTGAAGGAGGCTCGGTCCTTCCCATCATCGCTGTAAATGGGCCTGGAATCTGCCACCAGCGATACGTGGTGCGTTCAGCGTTGTGCCTCTCCATTCCAGAACATTCCATCACGCCAAAAGGAAGCCCCCTTAGCTGTCACCCCACCCTCTCCCTCTGCAGCCCCTGACAGACACCCACTCACCCACTCTCTGTCCCCCGTGGACGTGCCCGTTGTGGGCATGTCACATAAATGGAGTAGCACACCATGTGGCCCTGCGTGTCCGGCGTCACTCACTGAGTTTTTCCGTCCACACCATGGCCGTGTCAGCGCCTCCCCCTTTTCGCAGCCGAGTGACACCCCCTCCATGTGGGCGGGCACACCCTGTGTGTCCACCATCCGCTGGCGGGCGTTCGGGTGGTGCCCACGTCTGGGCTGTCGAGAATCCCGCCGCCATGCACACGTGAGCACCAGTCACCCCTTACCTTTCCTCTCTCGTCCTTGTGCCCACATTCAGGTGTCCAAAGCCTCGTCGGAACTCATGAGCTACTGTGAACAACACGCCCGGAACGACCCCCTGGTGGTGGGAGTCCCCGCCTCCGAGAACCCCTTCAAGGACAAGAAGCCTTGCATCATCCTGTAGCTTTGTCTACACGTGTGTCCTCTCCCTCCCTCCCTCCCTCCCTCCCTCTCCCTCTCTCTCTCCCTCTCCTTCCCTCCCTCCCTCCCTCCCTCTCTCCCCGCCCCACTGTGGGGCATCAGTCAGTATGTAGCTCAAGCGAAACATTTTGAATCCCTGAAACTTTAATGCCAAAAGAAGTGCAGAAGGCTGCCAGTGCCCGGATGGGTGCCGTGTACCCTCCGGGTCCCCGGCCACACAGCCCCCTGGCCCGGCCCGAAGACGGTGGTGGCTTCACAGCCACTTCCGACTCTGAGTGACCGCAGTGCCCCAGCGATGTGGGAACCATTTTTTTAAGCTCTAGGTGGCCGCTTGAGCTGTGGTCCCCGCGCTGGGCCGGCCGGCTGCTGAGTACAACTGGCCACTCGTGGACAGACTCTGCCAGCTCGATGCCACCA